GTGATTTTTGTCGTCTCGGTGAGTTCGGCCACACCCTGGTGAGGTAGTTGTTGCTGCTATCCTTTTACAGACGGGGAAACCAGGGTAAAGTGAGAATAAGCAACTCCACAGGTTAGCCAGCTAACAAGGGGTGAGCGAGCCGGGGTGCAGGTTGCAGCCGACTGGCTCCAGAGCCCCCTCCCATGACGCCGGCCCACGGAACCATGACTCGTGGCTGTTTTTGCTGAGGATGATGCTCCATTCCGGTTTTAATATGTGCGACGTGTGAAGAAGGTTAAGTAAACATTTTAATAAGTAAACGCTACCCACAACCGATGCCCAGGTAGGGCGATGTATGGCAAGGCTCACGTGAGTGACTGAAGGAGAGCACCCAGGAGTGAACGCTCCGTGGCGCCCTGAGACAGGAAAGAACCTGCCACGGATATCGTAGGTAGTCGAACACAAAGAGGAGGAAAACCCTTGTAGGTCTCTCACGCAGTAACTGATCTCAAGTCCACAGTTGTGCCTTGGGTCCAGTCGGGCCAAGGGGGCGTGGGGTGGGGTGGGCGCCTGTGGCACCCAACAAGGGGCCAACCTGGGGAGGAAACATTGGGTGCGAGCCAGGAGGAGGCAGTCCTACTGCCATCCCTTACCACCTCTTTGAAAATGAATCGGTCCACAGACCTTTTGTAGTTAGTTTCTTGCCCCTCCTGCAGGAGCACGGGGCAAGGGGCGCGCTTCCATCCCCTTAGGCACAGTTAGTGAGGCACCTAGGGCCCGAGATGCGTTTTAGGAGCCCACAGAAATGAGGCAGCTTCTGATTTCAATTTTTTTTAAGGTTTTTTATTTATTTAAATACACAGAGAGGAGAGAGAGAGAGGCAGAGACACAGGCAGAGGGAGAAGCAGACGCCCTGCAGGGAGCCCGACGTGGGACTCGATCCCGGGTCTCCAGGATCACGCCCTGGGCCGAAGGCGGCGCTAAACCGCTGAGCCACCGGGGCTGCCCAGCTTCTGATTTCAAATGGAGTTGGAGGAGTGAGGCTGTGCGGTAAACGTAGGGTAAGTCAAGTCCGTTGTCCCGCACAGGACCCGTTGTTAGGAGCTATGTTCAAAATTCAGGATATTAACAAAAGTGCTGGGGCATCTGTAAAACAGCTCTGGGGGCAGCCCCGGTGGCTCAGTGGTTTAGCGCTGCCATCGGCCCCGGGGCGCGATCCTGGGGTCCCGGAATCGAGTCCCACGTCGGGCTCCCTGCACGGAGCCTGCTTCTCCCTCTGCCTGTGCCTGTGCCTCCTCTCTCTCCGTATCTCTCATGAATATATAAATAACATCTTTGAAACACACACACACACACACGAAGAAAAACTAAGGGGAGGAGGGAAAGGGGTGGGGGAGAAATGGCGGCAAGAAAGTGGGTGGGTCATCACCCAGATCCCAAGGGTCCCGCCCTAAGGGGACCCTTGCATGCTTGTCTAGAGCATCTGGGCAGAGGCACAGACGCTGAGCCCAAACAGGTTTCAGGATCCATGGTTGCAATGAGAGAAACAAAGGTTTGAGCCAAAGGCCTGGGAAAAACGCAACCAAGCCGGAGCTCGTACAGTTCCAGCAGACCAGGAACGCCCTGAGCGCTGTGCGGGTTCGGAGCCCTGTACTGAGACGGGGCTTCATTACTCAAATTCTAGAGGCGCCGGACATTCTCAAGGCGCAAGCTCGGTTTTCTGTGCATAGTGCGCGTCTGAGCACCAGGCACGCTCAGAAGACCCGAGCCCAAGCTTCTGTTCTCGGGTACCCAGGAGTCTGGGGGGGGGGGGGGGGAGTCTGGCGGGCTCTGACTTGAGGCGCCTCACAGAAAAACCTCCAAGTGGCACCTCGGAGCCCGTGACATTCGTCGGATGCCTATTCCCTGCCTAGTCGCCGCCGCTGGATACGCAGGGCCGGCCCAAGAGACATTCTCCCAAGGCTTCTTCTGCAAGGGCTCCAGAGCTAGGGGGAGGTCTGCCTCTCAGCCGACCCAGATTTGGGGCGCATGAGCCTAGCTGGGACTTGAAGAAGACTCAACCTCTCTCGCTAGGCATCGACCGACGGATGCACTGGGCAAAGAAAGTGCTCCCCACTGGAGCTCTCCCTGCAAGTGCACTGCCCGGGGGGTGCCAAGCCCAGCCGCATGCGCACCTCGGCGAGCCCACCCCGCCCCCCTCCGGAGGGGGTGTATATAGATAGAGAGAGGCCGTCTGCTCAGAAGCAGGGGAACCTGACAACGCGAGGACCGCTCCGTGGGAGCCTGGCAGCACGGCACCTCTCTGCGCCCGACCCACGGATCCAGGAGGACCCTGCGCGGGATCTGCAGGGAACAGCGCGAGGGCTATGGAGCCTCTGAGCCGACGCAGGGACGAAGTCATGGGCTTCCTCGGCCCGGGAGTCGACGAGGGCGGGGAAGAGCCGCAGGGTCGGTGCCGGTTGGGACACGTGCCCCCATCAAGCCCCAGAAACGAAGGTTCCCTGGGCGAGGGGAGCAGGCCCGACGCCCCGCAGATGCTGCTGCCCCTTGCCTCCCGCCTCCCACAGTCTAGGCTCCGATGCCCTGATCTCTCCGTGTGGATTTCCTCCTTTGCAGAAACCCAGCCTGTGGCCATGTCGCTGACCCAGGAGGGAGCGGCGGCCGAGTTCACACCTGACCACGGCAGGGGAGCAGACCAGGTCATGGAGGAAGCTGACGGCGAGGGTGACGGTGACGGCGAGGGTGACGGTCAGGGCCAGCGCGACGGTGACGACGGTCAGGGCCAGCGCGACGGTGACGACGGTCAGGGCCAGCGCGACGGTGACGGTGAAGGCCAGCGCGACGGCGAGGAGGCAATGGGTGACGAGGCCGCGGGATTTCCACTGCCGGCGGGCGACGGGACCCCCCAGGGGCACGGCGACCAGGGCCCAGTGCCAGGGCAGCCGCCCCAGGCCACCGTCCCGTGTCCCCTGCCGGGCAACGGGCAGCAGGCGGGCCAGCGCATCGTCTTCAGCCGCGTGCAGCTGCATGAGCTGGAGAGCGTGTTCCAGCGCACCCAGTACCCCAGCGCGCCTACGCGGTAAGCCGGCTGCCCCGCGGGGCGCCGGGGAGGGGGAGGGCCTGGGACCAGTTATCACCCGTCTCTCTCCTCGAGGCTGAAGTCTAAGCTACCGGCCTCCAGGCGGCGGGGGGCCGGCTGGGCACTCACTCGGGGCTCCGGGCTCGGCCTTGGGCGGTTGGTTGTCTCGGGAGCCCAGCGCTCTGTGGGCGGGGCCAGGGCGGCGACGGCGGAAGTTAAGCCCATGTGCTCCGGCCAGCGCGTCCACCAGCTGGTAACATAAACAAGTCCGGCCGAACGCAGTGGGCGAGAGGCGAGGGGGGGGAGGGCGCAACCGGCTTAGGATCCTGCTAGGGTGGTTTAAAATCCTGATCCCGGCAGCCCGGGTGGCTCAGAGGTTTGGCTCCGCCTTCCGCCCAGGGCGCGATCCTGGAGACCCGGCAAGGAGCCCCACGTGGGCTCCCTGCATGGAGCCCGCTTCTCTCTCTGCCTCTCTCTCTCTCTCTCTCTCTGTGTGTGTGTGTCTCGAATGAATGAATGAATGAATGAATGAATGAATGAATAAAATAAAATCCTGATCAGTCCTCTCGTCCTCAAGTATTTCTGCGCTGATTTCTAAAATCTTATTTGGTTGAAGGAATCTCTACGCCCACCGCAGGGCCCCTGCACCGCCTTGTACATTTTTTTAAAGTAGCTATGTCATATTTTAAAAAGATTTTTATTTATTTAGTCATGAGAGACACAAAGAGAGAGAGAGAGAGACGCAGGGGGAGAAGCAGGCTCCACGCAGGAAGCCTGACGTGGGACTCTATCCTCGGTCTCCAGGATCACAGCCTGGGCTGAAGGCAGGCGCTAAACCGCTGACACACCCGGGCTGCCCGCGTTGTGCATTTTGAAATACTGCAGCTGAAAAACTATCTGGATGAGTGGATATTCTGCATGCCCTGAAATTTTGCTCAAGGTCTTTGAAAATCTTAAAATTAAAAAAAAAAAAAAAGAAAGAAAAGAAAAGAAAAAGGGGGCGCCTGGCTGGCTCAGTCAGTAGAGAACGTGACTCTTGATTTGGGGTGGGAAGTTGGAGCTCCACGCCGGCTGTAGAGATTCTTTGAAAACAAAATCTGAGGGCGCCTGGGTGGCTCGGTGGGTTAGGTTTCTGCCTTCTTCATCTGAGGTCAGGATCCCAGGGTCCTGGGACTGAACCCCAAGTGGGGCTGGCTCCCTGCTCGGCAGGGAGTCTGCTTCTCCCTCTCCTCTGCCCCTGCTCCTGTGCACTTGCTCTCTCTCTCTCTCTCTCTCTCTCACTGTCTCTCAAATACGTAAAATCTTTGAAAAAAATAAAAATTAAATCTAAATAGAAATTAAATCTAAATTTTGCTTGAGGGGAAACTGCCCCAGAAAAGGAAGCCTCAAGCTAGCCATTACAGAGCAGTGTGTGTGGGGGCGTATGGTTTCTGCGGCAGTGCTCGGGGACAGGGGAGGGGGGGATTTAGTGATACCCACACTTTAAACACAACCAAAGAATGAACAGCGGTTTGTGCCATCCCTTAGCACCCAGCAGCAATGTACTCCAACTTGATCATCGCTGAGAGAGAGAGAGAGAGAGAGAGAGAGACAGAGAGAGAGAGAGAGAGAGAGAGAGAGAGAGAGAGAGATGGATGGGCGGCACCTTGTTTTAGGGCTCTAATTTAATCCCATAAAATGGGTAAGAGCAACGACTTAAAGTCCATAGAGGTAGTTCCTCAGGCATTTTTCTTCATTTTCAAGTTGGTAACACTAAAAGACACTGCATCAGAGTATCCTGTGTTCTTGGGGACTGTGCCTCCTTTACCCGCGAGACTTGGCTTTCCTGAAATTCTCTGTCAACTGAATCTCGCTGTAAATCCTGAAATGGTGTGACTTTTCCCAGTGTAGAGACTGGTTCAGAAAAATGCCACTGACATTTCCCCGAAAAAAAAAAAAAAACTTTTTAAAGAGAGGAACAAAATACACTGTATTTTATTTAAATCACCCCCAACTCCACATACTGAATACTTGTGATTTTCTCCCCTCAGCCAGGAGCTTGCAAGATTCATGGATGTGTCTGAAGCCAGAGTGCAGGTCAGTAAACCTCAAAAAAAACAAGGTGGCTGGGAGGCATTCTAAAACCGGCATCAGGACTTGGGCACCGTTGTCCTAGAGAGAGCTTCTCACCTTCCTGGGTTTTTGTTGCCTTTTCTAGATTTGGGAACGGAGTGTTGAACTTTTGGGTCTGGGGAGGGAGGGGGGGGATTGGGGGAAGGCGGAGGGCGGGGGGAACATGGGATACCTAAAGCCCAGGTTTTGGAAATTGCCCGTTTCCAGAGGGAATGTCATTTCCTAAAAGGAATGAAAAAATTAGTATAGTAGGGGATCGCTTATATACAAACCTACATATACGTTTGTATTAACTGTACCTATGTATCCTTTTAGATGTCACTGAATTAGACGAATAATACACATATTTATATAGATTTTTAAATGTAGTATAAATAGGGACGCCTGGGTGGCTCAGCGGTTGAGCTTCTGCCTTTGGCTCAGGGCGTGTGATCCCAGAGTCCTGGGATCGAGTCCCACATGGGGCTCCTGGAATGGAGCCTGCTTCTCCCTGTGCCTGTGTCTCTGCCTCTCTCTCTGTGCGTCTCTCACGAATAAATAAAGAGCATCTTTAAAAACTAACTAAATAAATAGAAAGATAATCACAAGCATAGATCATATACAGTATATGTGCTGTTTTTGTAAGCAATATAGATCTATATACTAACATATACTTTGTATATATTATAAATATGTACTGTAGAAATATATGCAATGTAGTAACATAAATTATAGAATACACAAAGTACATTTAATTTGTAGAATATATGCCTATATATTTATCTAATACAGAATATGTATTTTTTAAAAGATTATTTATTTATTTATTTATGACAGACACAGAGAGAGAGAGAGAGAGAGAGAGAGAGAGAGAGAGAGGCAGAGACACAGGAGGAAGGAGAAGCAGGCTCTATGCCGGGAGCCCGACACGGGACTCGATCCCGGGACTCCAGGATCGTGCCCTGGGCCAAAGGCAGGCGCCAAACCGCTGAGCCACCCAGGGATCCACAGAATATGTATTTGATATGTTAAGTGTACATGTAAAAAATATGCAGGATACCAAAAGCATATTCTTTTCTTTTCCTAAGTATCTCCTTTTTTTTTTTTTGTTCCCCGTATATTTTTTTATTGGAGTTCCTGAGTATCTCCTATAGCCGACAAATACCATAGATATCCATAGGACATCATTGCTATAGCCAACATAAAATACATTTATAGAAGTCATATACAATTCATATAATTATCACCCGTATTGATAGTCATCTGTAACATAGAATTGCCGTATAACCCTTGCATAATAATATAGCCAATAGCGTGTTCCTTACTGTATTAATTACAGATCACATACGGATCAATGGGATCCCTGGGTGGCTCGGCGGTTTGGCGCCTGCCTTTGGCCCAGGCCGTGATCCTGGAGACCCGGGATCGAGTCCCACATCGGGCTCCCTGCATGGAGCCTGCTTCTCCCTCTGCCTATGTCTCTGCCTCTCTCTGTGTCTCTCATGAATGAATAAATAAATAAAATCTTTTTTTTTGAAATTTTTTTTAATTTTTATTTATTTATGATAGTCACAGAGAGAGAGAGGGATCCCTAAATAAATAAGATCTTAAAAAAAAAATACGAATCAATGGTCATGTACTATGAATTGATGTTACTCATTAGCACATCAATATGTTGATATCTTAAGATCATTATGTGGTTCTCTAGAATATAGTCATCATGTATTATTTGATCAGTATAATATGATGGTATATTATGTGGTTCTCTAGAATATAGTCATCATGTATTATTTGATCAGTATAATATGATGGTATATTTATGGAGTTCATATACATATTTATGTATAAATTACTTACAGGTAACTTGGAGACACCAGTAGATATTGTACATAATTTTACATATACATATATATATGTAAATATATATATATTTTAAAAGATTTTATTTATTCACGAAGAAGGCAGAGACGCAGGCAGAGAGAGAAGCAGGCTCCTCGCAGGGAGCCCGATGCGGGACTCGATCCCGGGAGTCCAGGGTCACGCCCTGAGCGGAAGGCACACACGCTCAACCACTGAGCCACCCAGGTGTCCCTATAGGTAATATATTTAGATAGAGCACATTTTATAATACTATATACTTAAACATATGTATTTTATAGAACTGTAAAGAAATCAATGCCCAAAAGCACACATACTCACACAGAGCGCATCTTCTGAACGGGTTATCATTTAGGCGACACTTCATTGTCGGGACACATCCAGATGGAGTCTGAAGTAGAAATCGTTCACATTAATGCACCAAGGAGTTTAATTAGACTAATCTACTGAAAACAAGCATAAGCTCTTTGCATAAGGAGTGAATTGACAAATATTTGGGCATTGGCTTCGGGGAAGATGTCACACCTATGACACAGCAGAGAAGCAAGAACCTAACGTCCAAGTTAAGCTGAGACTTATGGGGAGGGTGTAGCATAAAGTACAACTGCCTAGGCCTCCTGCTATTGGTGTTCACTTTTAATATATGATATTTTTGTTCTAGGATTCACACGAAAGCAATTTTATCTTTCAATTATAAAATTACTGTAATTTAGTTTTAATCTTATTTTTATTTTTTCACTTTATTTTAAAAGTTCAGAAATGTATTTATTTTTACTATTACTGCTTTTAGGCTTTTTGTGCAAGTGCCCGGAACTCCTGCTGTATTTGGTTGTTGTGGTGGTGGTGGTGGTGGTTTTATATGTATGATTTCTTGCTCTAGGATTCAGGTGAAGGGAATTTCATTTTTTTTAAAGAGATTTTATTGATTTATTCCTGACAGACAGACAGAGAGAGGCACAGACACACAGGCAGAAAGGGAGAAGCAGGCTCCATGCAGGGAGCCTGACGTGGGACTCGATCCTGGGTCTCCAGGATCACGCCCTGGGCCGAAGGCGGCGCTAAACCACTGAGCCACTGGGGCTGCCCAGGAATTTCACTTTTTAATGAAAGAAAGAAAGAAAGAAAGAAAGAAAGAAAGAAAGAAAGAAAGAAAGAAAGAAGATCGCATTTAAGAGCTTTAAATTTCATTTACTTAGTTTTAGAGCTACTGCTTTGAAGGGTTTGGTAAAGAGGTGTGGAGAGTGGCAGGGCTACTTCTTCATTTTCTGGAACTCCTGGATGCGTCAGCCTGAAAACACTGCTAGACAGTAGGTTGTGCATTATGGTGGAGATGCCCCGGTGCAACCTTTGAAATCTGTCTAAAAGACAAAAGAAACGGAAACAACAATTTCAAACAGGGTTCCACCAACCTAACAAAGGTGGAGGCCAGTCTAACCAGGTGGAAGCCATCCTAACACAGGTGGAAGCATAAGGCGTGACCTGTGCCTCTTGGACGTGACTCACGTTCCAATTTCTGAAACTACCAAATGCACTGGTGAAGATTCCGTTTGGGAATGTCTGACACCTGTGATTTTTATCGTCCTTTGCTTGTCCTTTTAGGAAGAGATTGTGTGGAATTGGTCACTAGTGGGGACTGGCTCTTAGCTCAGGCCGGGTTCTGCCGGGGGCAACTGGAAAGACTTTGTCCTTGGCTCAGTCAGGGACGGCTCACTTGTGGCTCGATGGATCAAGGGGTGATTGAAACCACAGAAAGCCTAAGTGGAATCAAAGGATAATTTGGGGGAAAAAAGAGAAATAAGAGGGAAAGAATGGAAAAGAAAACTCAGGGTGGGCTTGTTAGCTCTGCCGCATGCACAGGGTCTACTTCTGTGAAGGAAAGGGGCTGCAGAAGTGGACACCGGGAGGCCACCCAGGCAGCCCAGCAAAGCAGGCCCCGGAGAACAGGGGCTGGGCTGGGCTGCGGCGAAGCAGGCGTGGCCAGGGCTGGGGAGGCCCAGGCCCCTCTGCTCTGTCAAGGGGGCCAAGCAAGCTCAGAGAAGACAGACACCCTTGAGTGTGGGTGGGTTGGGGACGCCTGGGTGGCTCAGTGGTTGAGCGGCTGCCTTTGGCCCAGGGCGTGATCCTGAGTCACAGGATCGAGTCCCAAATCAGGTTGCCTGCATGGAGCCTGCTTCTCCCTCTGCCTATGTCTCTGCCTCTCTCTCTCGTGTGTGTGTGTGTGTGTGTGTGTCTCACTAGTAAATAAATAAAATCTTATTAAAAAAAAGTGTGGGTGGGTTGGTTTTCCCCTGCATGGGCTTGCATAATGCTCTCTCAGCGGGGTTCTGAAGGGCAAAGGACCCACAAGAAACAAATGAGGAAAAACACCTAATGTCCTCTTCCCTTTGCAAACTCTACAGCATGGATTTTTGCACAAGTTTTCCCCAGTTTTTTTTTAAGATTATTTATTTATTTATTCACGACAGACAGAGAGAGAGAGAGACAGAGAGAGAGAGAGAGAGAGACAGAGACACAGGCAGAAGGAGAAGCAGGCTCCATGCAGGGAGCCCGACGTGGGAGTCCATCCCAGGTCTCCAGGATCACACCCCGGGCTGAGGGTAGCACTAAACCGCTGTGCCACCGGGGCTGCCCAATTTTCCCCAGTTTTATTAAGACACGTTACATACAGCCTTGTATAAATTTGAGGTGTACAGCATAATGATCTGCCTTACGTATATTGTGAAATGATTACCATGGTAAGTTTAGTTACCATCCATCATGTCCCAGAGAGAGAGATTTAAAAAGGAGAAAGCGAAAAAAGGAAAGCAAACAGTTTGTTCTTTGTGACTAGAAGTCTTGAAATTGAATCTCTAAACTGTCCTATATCCCATAAGGCAGGGCTCAGTATAGTCATCATGTTACTAGTCCTAGTCCTTATTTCTCTTAAAACTGCAAGTTTTTACCTTTTGACCACCCTCAAGGCAGTTTCTGCATCCACCCCTTCTAGTGGTCACAAATCTGATCTGATTTTCTATGAAGTGGTTGGGTTTTTCATTTTTAGATTCCACATACAACTGAGATCATAGAGTGTTTGTGTGAAGACGATTTTTTTTAAACATTGAGAGAGAGAGAGAGAGAGAGAGAGAGAGGCAGAGACACAGGGAGAGGGAGAAGCAGGCGCCTCACAGGGAGCCCGATGCGGGACTCGATCCAGGAACTCCGGGATCACGCCCTGAGCCAAAGACAGACACCCAACCGCTGAGCCACCCAGGCATCCCTGTGTGAAGACGATTTTAACGGATGTCCCCCACCTGCAGTGAGAGTCGTTTTCTGAATCCAGTATTAGAAATATGGAACTACTATCGGTGACTATGTCACGTAGGCTACTTTGCATTTATGTAGATTTGGCCTCCGCTGAACTTGGACCCCCCCAAGATGAGGTCCACAGCACTGGTGTTGTTAGAGTACATTTTCATGCAGCAGGAAGGCCAACCAGGAAGATGGCAGAGGGAAAATGAGTCAACGGAGAGAGTAGAGGCCCCTGGTCTCAAGTGACATTTGCAAATTGGGAATGTCTAATATGAAATACAAAGAAATTCTGTTAAGTAGGATGCAGAGAGTACAGTGGCCTCCAAAGCACAGGTTTCATTTGTAGGGTTCACAGTTGGCAGGTGTCAGAGAGGAGCCATTTTGTGACTCCTCACCGACACGGTGGTTGACGGTCTTCCTAAAATGTCAGTGTCACCTTCTTGCCTTAAGAATACCGTATGATCTTTTTTTTAAAGGATTTTATTTATTTATTAGAGAGAAATGATAAGTAGTGAGAGAGAGCATGAGCAGGGAGGAGAGGGAGAAGCAGGTTCCCTGTGAGCAGGGAGCCCTACACAGGGCTCCACTCCAGGACCCTGAGATCGTGACCTGAGCCGAAGGCAGACGCTCAACTGCCACCGAGGAACCCCAGGAATACCATGTGATTGCACTTATACGTGGAATCATCAGAACAAAAGAAATGAGCAAACAAAGCAGATACCGGCTCAAATGCAGAGGACAAAATCGAGGTTGCCAGAGGGGAGGGGTGGGGGTGGGGGTGGGGGGACAAGCGAAATAAGTGAGGTGGATTAGGAGGTACCAAGGTCAGCTGAAAAAATAAATCAGTCCCGGGGATGAAGAGTATGACGTAAGGAATATAGTCAGTAACACTGTAATCATTTTTTGTATGGCTTTGAAGGGTGGTGACTCCACTTATGGCGGCGAGCCATCCTGTGACGTAGAGAACTGTGGAATCAGTATGTCGTACACCCGAGATGAATACAATATTGTATGTCAATTATCCTTCAGCGAAAAACAGAAACAAGAATAAGGGGTGGGAAGGGGCCCTCCGGGCTGAGTCGAGGGGGTCGAGGCAGCAGGGGTCCTGTCCAGGGTGCTGGAACTGTGGCCAGAGCAGAGTGAGCTGACCGGGTGCTGAGCCCAGGAGAGCCTGGAGCAGGGTACGTCCGGGCTGCAGGCTGCAGAACTGACAACAGCGACAGTGGTGTGCCTCTTCTCCCTCAGCCCGTTGGCTGGGCAACGATTTTAAGGATTTCACTAAATCCGGTCCTAGTTAGTCTAAACATTCACTGCCCCCAACGTCTAAAATACTCAGGTCGCGTCCAGCGCCTCGGCTCCCTTCTGTCCCAGCAAGACAAGCCACGGGCTCCCGGCCCTCCGGGCCCAAGCCTCGCTCACAATACCGTCTTTTCAAGCTAGGGAGAGGTTTCGGAAGATGAAACCTTTAGCCATCCATCCTTAAAGGAAAGCTGTTGTGGAAAGATCCAACGCGTCCCTATGGATGATTTTCTGTACGTGGAAGGTGGGCGTTGTTCCCCTCAGCAGGACTTTTGAATGGCCCTGAGCTTCCCCCACAAGCGGCGTGACACCTGCCTGGTGACTACGGGTGACTTGGACAGCTGGTGGTCAGCTGTGAGGGCACAGACGTCCCAGGTGGAACAGCGGCAGCAGGGCCGGAGCACGGTTCCTCCGCTACACCTGCTGCTGAGAACAGGGGGCAAGGGCAATATGCAGGGTGGGAGGGCAGAGTCAGAGCAGTGAGCTGAGCCAGGGCCTGGCGCGTGGTGGGTGCTGCTGTGTCCGGGTGAGCTGCAGGGAGGCCCGTGTCCCTAACTTCCCTAGGATGTTTTAGCGAGAAGGAAATAGCTTCCCCGGTGCAGGTTCCACCGTGCAGGGCAGAGAGAGAGTGGGCTGCTGTCCCGTATGACATTCAGTGCTCAATGTACTAAACCCATCCTTTCCCTCCCCCCCCCCTCTGATTTTAGGTTTGGTTCAAGAACAGGAGGGCCAAGTGGAGGAGACACCAGAGGGCAGTGAGGTTCAGAACCATGCCCCCCGTGGCCCTGGTCCCCCCCATCATCATTAACTTGGGTGGACCCTGCCGTACCATCCTCATTCAGGAGCCGAATCGCCTATGGGTTCTTCAGGAGCCACTGCTGCTGGGGCCACCTCAGCCGCTCATGCCATCCTTTCCTGTGGTCTTCGTGCCTCCTCTGCCCTGGCTTCCTCCACCTCTCCCTCTGTGCGGCTACCCTCCCGTGGCCCTCCCGTGGCCGGTCCGGCTTTCCTACCATCCCTAGTTCTGCTGTAAGCCCTCTGCCCCGGAAAGGGCCTCCGTGACCGCTTTTTCCCCCACGGGAAATGCGCTTCGCAGCGCATGCGGATTCTGTGTAGCTCACCATCAAGAGCAGCGCGCTACCCGCCGCCTGCTCGGTGTATTCAAGAGAAGTGCACATTCACTGACCCTCCGTTTTAGGGCACTTTCTGTCTCTTCAATAAAGCTGTGAATGAGTTGTCTGCGTATTTATTTCGCGTGTGGGACCGGGTCAGTCCGTGTGACGGCCGGTGCCGTTCATCCAGAAAGGCAAGGGGGTCTGCGTCCGTGCGGCCGCGTCCCTGGAGGCCGGGCCGCGTCCATCAGGAGGCCGGGCCCACCTGTGAGGTTCCCCAAGCGCCCACGGCCCGCCTGCAGGCTCCCGAAGACCCACCCGGGGCCCCGGCCCCCCCTCCTCCCCGCCGCGCCGCAGCCGGACCACAGCGCCCTGCAAGCCCGGGTGGCGGCGGCCTCCAGGGAGGGAGCGGTGGGCTTCCCGGCGGGGCTGAGCCCCAGGCGCGGTGAGGAGCCGAGGCTCCCCCGGGGGCGGGAAAGGGAAACTTCCGAGGGGCTACTCACTGGGCTCTCGGAGAAGCGGCAGCCCCGCGCGCGGCTGGTGCTCTGCAAGCGGCGGCCGGTGCCCGCCCTCGGTGCGGGACACGCGGCGCCAGCCTCCGGGCGGCGGGCGGGCGGGCGGTGCCTGCGCCCGCGAAGGGAACGCGAGCCGAGACCCCCGTCAAGGCCAGCGCCGGGCTCTGCGCCCTCCCTCGCCCCCACTCCCCGGGGGCGGGGGGCCCGGCGGCGCTCGGTCGCCAGCTCCCGGCTGCCCGGCGGCTTTCCGCGAGACCGGTCCCGCGGCCCGTCGTCCTTGCGGGCGGTCCTTCCGAGCCCGCGGCGGAGAAAGGACCCGGGTTTTTGTGCACTCGGACTTGGGGAGCGAGAGGGGTTCCTGCGGAACCCAGGCCGTGTACCTGTTGCCCGACCGGGTTACTTACACTGGCACACACCACCCTTCTGGTTGCCAGGACGACCCCAGCCCTGGGGACGAGTTTTGCCGGTGCACCCAAAATGTCTCCCCCGGTCCCCCAGGTTTGGGCTGTGGTGCCGCCGCGGGTTCTGTGAGCCCAGGCGTCCGGGAGCTCCCGGATCCGAGACCGGGCGGCCCCCTCCTGCGCTCGCCGTGGTTCCAGGGTCTCGCCTCGGGAGGGGAGAAGCATAGCCTTCCTTCGAGGCACCCCCGCCCCCCCGACTCCCGTCCCCCCCCCCTCCGCCCCCCCGCCCCCCGCCCGGCCAGGCCGCCGGCTTTCTGCGTAGCCGGCGCCGTGACTCACCTCCTTCCTCGCTGCAGAGACCTGGTTGGCCTCAGCCCTCAGCTGTGGGGCCCTCGCCCCAATCCTGCATCTCCCTCTCGAGGTGTGTTCTCAGGACCAGTGGGGCACCATCTTCACCTATGACTACACGATCCTTGTGTGGAAATAGCAATTTTTGAAACCACTTCTGGTATGTATCTTGATTGATCTCGTGCTTTTTCTTCTATTTGTGCAATTTAAGTGTCAGTTTATAGAGGGAAACCTGTTTTTTTTTATTTTATCATTTATTTTTATAATTTTAGAGTTAATTTTGATTTTTGTTTATTTTACTTCGTTATATCGTGTATTTTCCCCATTATTTATGTTTATTATTGTCTACTTTTACAATGTATTTTCTATTTTATCATTGTTTTTATGTAATTTATTATTTTATTTTAATTTATATGTATTATGTTCTTTGTTTTTATCTATAAAAATTTAATTGAAATGTACTTGACTTAAAATAGTATATTAATAATTTCAGATGTACGACGTAGTGATTCGACAATTATATGTATTTGGAATTGCTCACCATGTACGTGTAGTTAATCATCTGTTAACATAGAATGTTATTATTTTTTCATTAATTATATTCCCTGTGCAATACTTTGCATTTGGAAGACGTATTTATTTTCTACTTGAATTTTGCACTGTTTAATTCTCTTCAGCTATTTTGCCCATCCCCCCCTCCCTTTTGGCAACCTCGTTTGTTCTCTATATTTTTGATTATCTTTCTGGTTTTTTGTTGCTTTGTTGTTTAGATTCCACTTATTAGTAAAATAATGTATTATTTATTTCTCTGACATCACATAGCATAGTACCTCCTGGGTCTATCTTCGTTACCAGTAACGGTAAGGTTTCATTCTTCAGTATGGCTGAGTAAAATATTCCATTGTGTCTATATACCACATCTTTTTTATCCAGTCTTCCTTGGGTGGACGTGTAGGTTGATTCTATATCTTTGCTATTGTAGATAATGCTGGAATAAACATAAGGGTAAATACATCTTTTCGATATTCGTGTTTTTGTGTTTGTTTGGCTAAATAGCAGTAGAATTACTGTATTGCATGATACATGTGTTTTTAGTTTTTTGAGGATTGTCCACACTGTTTCCCACAGCAGCTGCATCAGTTTATGTTTCCACCAACATTGCAGAAGGGTTCCCTTTTCTACGCATCCGTGCAACACTTACTTTTTTTCTTTTCGACCCTGGGCATTCTGACTGGTGTTAGGTGATATTGTGTTTTTTTTTTTTCCTCTAAGATTTTACTTATTTATTCATGAGAGAGACACAGAGAGAGGCAGAGACACAGGCAGAGGGAGAAGCAGGTTCCCTGCAGGGAGCTCTACCTGGGACTGGATCCCAGGACTCTAGGATCACATCCTGAGCCAAAGGCAGAGGCTTTAACTGCGGAGCCTCCCAGGCATCCTGGATATTGTGGTTTTCATGTGCATTTCCCTGATAACTTAATTACGTTGAACTTATTTTCTTGTGTCAATTGGCCATATGTAGTTTTTTTTGTTTTTGTTTTTTGTTTTTGTTTTTTTTTCCGAAAAATGTCTGTTTAGGTACTCTGCCCTGTTTTGATTGGATTTTTGTTTTGGTGGTGATTTCCATGCATTTATTATACATTTTGATTATTAACTCCTTACCAGATATATAATTTGTAAATATTTTTTCAATTCTAGAGGTCATCTTTTTGTTTTGTCGATTATTTCCATTGATGTACAAAAGCTTTTTAGTTTGATATAGCCCCATTTAATTATTTTTGCTTTTATTTCCCATGTCCGAGGAGACATATCCAGAAAATTATCGCTATGGCTGATGTCTGTAAATTTACTGTCTGTGTTTTCTTTTAGGAGTTTTATGCTTTCAGAGATTACATCTTGGACTTTATTGTTATTTTATTGTTATTATTTAAGATTTTATTTATTTATTTGACAGAGTGAGTGTGGGAGCACCAGTGGTGGTGGGGGCACTGCAGAGGAAGAGGGAAAAGCAGGCTTCCTCTGAGCGGGGAGCCATATGCAGGTCTTGTTCCTAGGACCCTGGGATCTTGACCTGAGCCAAATTCTTAACCAACTGAGACACCCAGGCACCCCTTTATTATTATTATTTTTTGAGTAGCCTCCATACCCAGCTTAGAGCCCAACACAGCGCCTGGAACTCTTAGGACACAGATCAAGACCTGAGATGAGAGTTAGATGCTTAATGGACTGTAGCACCAGGTACTCCTCATTTTGGTCTTTATTTTCAGTTTATTTTTGTGTGTTGTGCAAGAAACTGATCCAGTTTCATTCATTTGCATGTGGTTGTTTGTTTTCCTAGCACTATTTATTGAAGAGACTGTTTTTTCCCCATTGTAAATTCCTGTCTCCTTTGTCATAGATTAATTGACCGTATAAGCTTCAGTTTATTTCTGGGGTGTTATGTTCTCTTGATTTATTGTGTTTTTGCCAGTACCATTCTGTGTTGATTACTGTTGCTTTGTAGTGCAGTTTGAAATTTTGGATTGTGAGACCTCCAGATTTGTTCTTAAGGTTACTTTGGCTATTCTGGTTCTTTTGTAGTCCAAGGAAGTTTTAGGTTTATTCTAATTCTGTGAATCCTTTGCAACAACATGGATGGTGCTAGGGATTATAATGCTATATACTCATATGTGGAATTTAAGAAGCAAAACAAATGAGCAAAGGGAAAAAGAGAGAGAGAGAGAGAGAGAGAGAATCCAAGAAACAGACTCTTAACTATATAGAACAAATTGATGGTTACCAGAGGGTGGGTGGATGGATGGATGGATGAAGTAGGTGATGAGGATTAAGGAGTGCATTTGTCTTGATGAGCTCTGGGTGATTATATGGAATTGTTGAGTTATATTGTACACCTGAAACTAATATAACATTGTATGTTACTACACTGGAATTAAAATAAAGCTTAACAGAAAAACAAAAAAAAAAACCCCACTATAGGTATTTTCATAGAGATGACATTTTAAAAAAAGGTTTTATTTATTCATGAGAGACACAGAGAGATAGGCAGAGACATAGGCAGAGGGAGAAGCAGGCTCCCCGAGGGGAGCCCGACATGGGACTGGATCCAGAGACTTCAGTACCACGCCCCGAGCTGAAGGCAGCTGCTCTACCACTGAGCCACCCAGGGGTCGCAGGGATGGAATTAAACCTGTGAGTTGGGGCAGTCCGGGTGGCTTAGTGGTTTAGCGCCGCCTTCAGCTCAGGGCCTGATCCTGGAGACCTGAGATCAAGTCCTGCATCAGGCTCCCTGCATGGAGCCTGCTTCTCCCTCTGCCTGTGTCTCTGCCTCTCTCTCTCTCTCTATTATAAATAAATAAATAAATAAATAAATAAATAAATAAATAAATAAATAAATAAATCTTAAAAAAGAGAATATGAAATAGCTGGCATACAATATTACTAGTTTCAAGTATACAATTTAGTGATTGGAGAATTCTCTACATAATGCATTATGCAATGCTCATGTGCATAGTTACTGTCACCATTCAAAAATATAATATTATTGAGTATATTTTGTATGCTATGCCTTTCTTCTCTGATATTTATTTTTTTGAAGATTTATTTATTTGAGAGAGGGAGAGTGATGGGGGGAGGGGCAGAGGAAGAAAATCTTTAAGCAAATTCCCTGCTGGATGCAGAGCCCAATGTATGGTTCAGGGCTGGTTCAGGCCTCCATCTCACAACCTGCACTGAAACCAAAAGTCCAGCTGCTTAACCCACTGAGCCAACCAGGCGCCCCTGTGACATTTATTTTATAACTGGTAGATTTTTTTAATTTTTCATTTTTATTTTATTTTTTTAAAAGATTTTATTTATTTATTCATGAGAGACACAGGCAGAGAGAAGCAGGCCCCATGCAGGGAGCCTGATGTGGGACTTGATCCCGGGACTCCAGGATCACGCCCTGAGCCAAAGTCAGATGCTTAACCACTGAGCCACTCAGGCGTCCCTTTTTTTTTTTTTAAAGATTTTATTTATTTATTCATGAGAGACACAGAGAGAGAGGGACAGAGACACACGCAGAGAGAAGCAGGCTCCATGCAGGGAGCCCGATGCGGGACTCAATCCTGGGACTCCAGGATCTTGCCCTTTGCCAAAAGCATACGCTCAACTGCTGAGCCACCCAGGCGTCCCATAACTGGTAGTTTGTTCATCTTCACTCCCTTCACCTATTTTGCCTATTCTATCTCTTCCTCCCTTTCCTCTGGTGGAAGGAGTATTTAGGAGTTCTCTGTATTTAGGAATCTGTTTCTGTTTTTTATATGTTTGTTCTCTGTATTTAGGAGTATTTCTCTCTATTTAGGAGTCTGTTTCTGTTTTTTATTTGTTTTTGACTTTGTTTTGTTTTTTAGAATCCATGTACAGGTGATATCATATGGTATTTGTCTTTCTCTGTCTGATTTATCTTATGCAGCATAATACCCTCTAGGTCCATCCACGTTTTTGTGAAAGGGAAGATTTTTTTCTTTTTTATGGCTGAATGATATTCCATTGAATGTATATTCCACATCTTTTTTTTTAAAAAAAAAATCATCTATCAATGCACACAGGTTGCTTCAATATATTGAGTTTGTAAATAATCCTGCAGTAAACATAGGGGTACATATATCTTCTTGAATTATTGTATTTGTATTCTTTGGGTGCATACCTGGTAATGGAATTACTGGATCACATGGTATTTTTATTTTTAATTTTTAAAAATTAAAATAAATTTAAATTTTATGTATATGTTTGAGAGAGAGAGAAAGAATACAAGCATGGGGAGTGTGGCAGAGGGAGAGGGAGAAGCAGGTTCCCTGCTCATCGGGGAGCCTGCTGTGGGGCTCGATTCTAGGACCCTGGTATTATGACCTGAGCCAAATACAGTTGCTTAACTAACTGAGCCACCCAGGTACCCCTCTATTTTTAACTTTTTGAGGAATTTTCATAGTGTTTTCCACAATGGTTACGCCAATTTACATTTCCACAAACAGTGCACATGAGTTTCCTTTTTTTTCTCTACATCTTCAGCAATAGTTATTATTTCTTGACTTTGATTTTAGCTATTTTGACTGGTGTGAGGTGATACCTCAAGTTGTTATGATTTCCATTTCCCTGATAACTAGTGATGTTGGG